TATATATATATATAGACACACACACACACACACATAAACTTGGAAAAGATAAAATATGCTTTAACAATTGTTTAAAGAAATTTGTTTATCCATACCAGGTGGAGCTTGTCGTCTTCAATCCAGTGAGCCCAGCCTCGGTTCTTTTTCTCTCCAAGCTGTTCACACACCAGTTTGTTGTCCTGCCAGACCACCAGTGACTGCACAGATGGCGAAAAGAAAGAGAGAGAAATGGAGATTAAATCACATTCGCACAGACATTTTTATACAAAAACACTTGTGACTGTTGGGCTTAGTTCCACACTCCTGGCTGTCCTCACCTTGACGTGCCTGTTGTCCAGGCCCTTCGTAAACTCCTGAAACTCACAGTCAACTTTGAAGGAGATGGTGTAGTTTCGAAAGGTGCTGAGAGTTTTGATGATGAACAGGTCGCCCTGCTGCTCGATCACCTTCCTCTGCTTCAGCTTCAGAGCAATCTTTCGCAGGTTGGAGCTGATGCCTAGAATTGTAGAAGGGAAAAACTACTTACAAAGTCTCGTGCACGCCACAAACACTGCTCCTCCCTTCTATTTGCAGTATTTTGTGTTTGATAAAAGTATAGGTGCAAGTTTTTTTACAGAGTATTAAATAAATAGCTCAAACCATTGAACAATTTTTAATGCCAGGTTAGTTTTTTTAAAAATAAGACATGCTTGAAGTACTCACCAAGTGCTATCATGTAACCCTCAAAGTTGACATTGCTGATCATGTCCCACGTACCAGAGAAACTGGCCGGCATATTGATTACTCTTCCTTTTCTCAGAGATGTGTACGTGAAGATAACTCGCTGATGTGCTGCAGACCTCTGACACCTGCTTAAATATGCTTTTTTTTAGTTCCTATGATAATAACAGAAGGCGTGTCCTGCCCTGGTTGGTTGTCAAGTGAAGACCACGTAATGTCCAGGAGGGGTTCTCATCACTTTCGAGGTGTAAATGGAATTTTTAACGTGTCGGACAGGTTCTCGGTATTCTTAGTTCACTAACAAGAAAACTGTTTTCCTCCTGTGTTAAAATGGAAAAATAAATAAATAAATGGAAAAACACACTAGGTGTCTCCTGATATAGAAAAAATATAACTGCAGATTTGCACAAAAGTAAGTGCAAGATAAAATAAAAATCCATCACAATTCCTGCCACGGTTAATAAAAATGGTACTTTTTTTAAGTTTCATGCAAATCACAAAACAACGAAATAAAAAAAAAGAGGCAAAAGTTTATCGATTCTGTTTGCATCTGAGCCATGTATTAAACTGATTCCCCCACCGATTTTGCAGTATTTTCATTAAAATGGCAACACTTGTGTCAAAAAAAAGAGGTAATACTGACATCAGCGGCATGTCGCACAGGAAGAACACTCATTCACCATAAGATGAACATCACTACGCTTGTCTAAACCTTTTTTTTTTTTTTTGGATGGCCTCCCTTCTCCCCTCATAGCCATCCTCTCCACACCATTATGTTTTGTTTTGTTTTTTTGTGAAGAGAAAATATATAGAGAGAAAAACAGAGAGAGAAGTAATTAGAAAGATAGAAAGACTGAAATAGCGATTAGGAGTATATTAAATATACAACAACAAAACACAGGACCACACACCCAACATCTGTCCACTCAACTGAAAAATAAATGGATAAATACAGAGGGCATATATAAAAATACACACATACCCATACATATATAAAGATATACATACATACATGCCTACATTCATAAATATTGTCAGTATATACACAGACATATATACACACTCAGTGACCTGTCAGAACCCCCGGATCAGAACACCTGTCTGTGAGCAGTTGTGAACATGCGTGTATATACAAGATTTCTCCAATGGAATATTTAATAGTGACTGTGGAGGACCAAGACCCAACCCCCAAGACACGAGGCAGACATAGGGAAGACCAGAGTCCAAGGGCCTGAGAGGAATCCCGAGCACAGAGCCCCATGGAGCACCCGCAC